GGAAACGTTTTCGTTCTCGTAAAAGAAAATCAACATTTCCAAATTTAGCATTTTTTCTAATAATTTTGAATACGGTGCCAAGTATAAATTTTTTCTGTTAACTTTTTAATATTTCAAATTTATTCTTCTATTACATTAATAGATTTTATATAGATTTACATTAGAGTTTAATATATATTACATTAATAGATTTATCTCCTATGGCGTTATTACATTAATAGATTGATATCTGTAGTTATTATTAGAATTATTGTATTATCTGTTAAATCAAAGTATAGAATATATTGTATTTTATGGAATGTAGTATAATTTCCATCTTTATAATGTGTTTTACATTTTGCCTTGATGTTTAGTATAATTAGTCTGCATCCTTATTGAATTTATTCTAAAATTTTTGCAAGTTAGGTTACAAGATCGACAGAAATTAAATGTTTCTGTAACGTACAATAATAGCATAATTGGCAATGCATTGACAAATTTGTTAAACCATTTTGTAACGGCAGTTGTTTATTTAAAGGTCGGCATATATATAATTGTTTTATCATCTATCTTGCATGCTTGACGATCACTCGAAAGACCAATGAGCCAGAGCATTGTTTTTAAACAAGATGGTAGACAAGTTGTTGCATACACACTGTCGTATCTTTGGATAGTGTTAGACAAATATCTATCTTGTATTGTTTTTCGTAACTCAATGCTTGAAGGTATTGGATTTTAAGACATTTGTCTTCTGATATTTTTGCTAAATCTATAGAATTATACTGTGACAAGTTGAATCAAATGTTTATAGTGATAAAAAAATCAAGTATAAGGCACTTTGATTAGTAAATGTAAAGAAATGAATTGCAAGGCTGCTAAAGATGCCAAGATATCAACTCTTTAAACAGTTTATCATAAAAATTTGTCTTAGGTAAAAGATCAGTGTGTTATTAAAGTTGCAATGAATCTCTCATGGAGGGTGATAGCACTTTTTAAGACAGTGTCTTGCTATTTCTGGAATTACTAGCATTAATAATTTGCAGTACAAGTCCATATCAGTAAGTAAATAATTATGTCGGTCTGGCTTCTGCTGTTACTCATATAGCAAACACACATGAGAATACCTTTACCTCTTGAGTAACCAGTCTTGAGACACCTCGAGTGATGTGAAATGTTCCTTTTTTCTTTTTTTTTTTTTCAACTTTAGCACATACAATGAAATAATTGTTAACAATAATTCTGTATCCATGATATCTGTGAAAAGATAAAGTGAAAGCATGGCCATATGTTTTGCATCAGTCTTAATTGATCATGCAAGATTGACAATAAAAAGTTACATGTAGACTGGCCTTTATTCTTAAATGCCATTCCACATTGTTTATGTTGTTAAAATGTATCTATCATTTCAAAAGCATTGCATTAGAATTTGGAATTAATATTATAAAATTGAATAATGATTTTAATTCTCTAAGATATATTCTTGCTAAACCCAAGTGAATACATAACTCTTCCATATCCAACTCGTTAATAGTTATTGCTTTTCAGAAGCTTATCTGTTATCAGTATTTGATAATATGAAATGGCTTAATTTTAAAATAATCTATGAATTTTCTTCCATTCTAAAAATATTTTCATAATGCCATACTTACTCTTATATTCCAATCAAATTTCTAACAAATCTTAAGCTTTCTTAAAGTGAAATCTTGAAAAAGCTTGGATTTGGGTTGAGGATGGGAATAGGACCTTGGATTTTGGATGGACCTTAATATATTTGGATCACATTCCATGGAAATTAGACGATTCGATGCATTCTCAAATTCAAATCTTTCAGGGTGGCATGCCGATGCTTTTATTGTCTGTTATTCATCCATTAAATTAATCTGGTTTCTTTTTAACATAAATAAAACTTAAAATGAAAACTTTTGAATTTTTCATACATTAATGAATAAATTAATTTTGATTAGAATGAACTGCATTTCGTGGGCAAGTATTGGAGAATGTCTGGTAGACCAACAGTCTGCATTCTGATCAGAGAAGAACACATGAGGTTTGTTTACCTATTTTTATAAAAACTAATATAAAAATGTATGTTTTTACTTAGCATTATTATTATTGTATGTTTATATATAATAAGTAAACATTACAGAAATTAAGGTTTATTACTTAGAGATACACACTTTAAAGAAATGCTGGATCTATTAGCAATGTTCAAGAAGGGTCACTGTGACGGATTAAAGATTCGTACCGGTAGACTTCAAGTAAGTATTTCTTTCAGAATTAATCAATGATTAATTCCGAAAGAAAATCATTGTTTAAATCATTTTTCTTGAGGGTAATAGAAAATAAATTATTGCAGAATCTTATATCGTCATCTTGTATAGAACATCTCGACTTCCTTCATTTGCTACCACCTGATATTATTCCAAAATTTGAAGCATTTCAGCAGTTAGAGCATACTTCAATTGGATATCAAAGTTTAACCGATATTCCTAAAGCAATAATTTATAGCGAACCTACTTACAATTTTGAGGTAGATTTATATTTCTATTATTAAAATTCAGTGTTGCTTTCAATAATGAACCTTTTTTGATTTAATTATAGGAGTTCACACACAAATCTACTAAAGATATTCTGGATGCCATTTCTCAAACCGATACCCTTCACGGACAGAGTCAGCTATTAGGCATTCTTTGGTATCGTGAAGGACCGCAGTTTTGGGTGGATGGAAGTAAATACTTTAACGTAATTTATTTGTGTCTGTAATATTTGGAATGGATGCTACTGATAAAAATAATATTTATTTTCATCCCCTTCTCGGACATCAAGTGATCCAAGGACCCCCAATTGAATACAAGCATTTGAAAACCCAAATATGTGGGCCGTCTGTTCCACATATGTCAAGTACCATCCCTCATTAATTGGCTGATTCTTTTGAGGGCTTGGCTGAACTCACAATGGGCATGGAATAAAGATCCTCTTAGTGCCCACAGGGCAGAAAAAATATAGCAATATTATTTTTATTAGTAGCTTATTTATAGAATAAATAAACTAATTATTATAATAATTTGAGCAAATTAATTGTTGAACAGATTGAACAAATCAACTAATTATGTTAATAATTTGTAATTAGTAACAGTGAAGGAAAGACTTGAAAAACTGACGAGGCAGGCTGGAGCTCTCAGGCATTGGTAAATAATTTTTTAGATATAGTATTATTGACGATTGTTTCAACATTAATTAGGAATTTTCTAACTTAGGTCTGTAGTACGTTACTGTTCTAGCGTTCTGGAGAAAATGGTCGATAGCATCAGTCCTTACATTACATCAACCCTAGTCAGCGGCAAACAGGTGAGGTTTGTTAAAAGTATTCCAGTATATGTAATTATCTACAACGATTTTTTTATATTAGATTACAGTCGGTATTTTCGGTCACGAAGAAGTGGTCATCGATCATCCTCTAACTCCCAAAGAAGTAAAAGGCATTATATACGGTCAGTGTCAGCATCATGATATTTATCAAGCAGTTCTTCAACAAGAAATTATTCTCTATATCGGAAGACTCATTTCTACGTCACCGCATCTGTTTCATGGCATTTTGAAACTCAGAGTGGGGTAAGATATTTGTATTCTGAAGCAAACTGTTGTTTTTGTAAGTTTTCAGATGCAAGTTTCAAATTCTAATTCATTTTAATTTAATCTGTCAAGTGCTTGAGTACCTGACAGATTAAAATGGAAAACTTGCACTGGAATTATATGGAATGGTTGTTAATTCAAATGGAATTTTTATCATAAAAGATAAACTTCAAAATATTATTCTATGTTTTTCCTTTAACTTTTAGCTGGATTATTCAAGCCATGATTCTTTATTTGAAATTCCTGAATGAGAATCCTCCAGTAAGTGTGTAATGTATTTAAACAGTTTTTCCTAAACTCAATTTCTCGACTTTATAATTTCAGGCGTTACACAGTCTTTCTCCTAGCGATTTACGAAAAGTCCTTTTTAAAGTGCTTGAAACGTCAGATAATGTTGCATCTAATAAGTAAGTTACTGTTGATTATCCAAAATTCATACACTAAACTATTGATTAAAGATGAAACTATTCCCAATATTTAAATAATAATAATAATGTATTACTAACCTAACCTAAAAGTTAGTTTAAATTTGATGTTTTTGAGATTGAAGTGTTTTTTATCCATCTTTTTCTTCTATGTGGTCACTAAGAGGGTCAATACTTCAAACATTTTTACACTGGACTTGCTGTATAACACATCTTTAAAATCTTCTGGGTGCCTGGTGACAAAATTCACGGGTAAACAAACATTTTCAGTCTCCCAAGCTCTGCTGGAAAGCAGAAAACCTGAAGCAGAGCTCGGAAGGCATCAGAAAATGTTTGTTTACTCATGAATTTTGCTGCCAGTTACCTGGAGGTTTTTGAGGTGTGTTACTAATGGAGCCATTTTACTAGTTCTGTCATAAATCTGGCCGGGCCCCCAATGGGATGGTACCTGTGACTTATCCAGGACAGAACACCCATGAAAAATTGCTGGGATTCAGTTGGATTTGATCCCAAGTCTCCCAGAACAGCACACTGATGCTTTTATTACCTTATCTGTCTGGATATCTGTNATATAAATAGACATAGTAAGAAAGTATATAATTTTTTATCTTTGGGGGTCTCCAGAACAGATTATCAAATGCCCATAGAAATCTACAGTAAATCAATAATAGGTTAACGAACAATTCAGATAGTGAACGAAGTCTTGAAACAGATTATGTTCGTTAACCAATCACCCACTGTATATTTATTAGAGCTGGTAAAATTTTAGAAGAAACTTACATTTAATTTAATATTTTTGGCTCTATCCGCATACTTCAGAGTATTATAGGTATCATCATAACTCTCAGTTGTAGAGCTAATAAATATAAAATTCCAACATTAACTTTGATCTAGAAAGCAATAAAGTTTTGGCATAATTTTTGTTTTAATGTATAAGGAATAATAAATATAAAATTCCAAATTAAACTTTGATCTAGAAAGCAATAAAGTTTTGGCATAATTTTTGTTTTAATGTATAAGGAATAATTTTAATTAAGTGCAAAGGATTTAATTTGAATGAGGAAAAATTGATGCCGAAGATAGAAGGGTCCATGTTTACTTAAGATTAAACATTTTTCGGGATATAGATCCAAAGAGGGTATGGTATGATCCTGAAAAACATTTATTCTTAAATAAACCGGGACTCCTTCATGTGTTCTAGCATCAGTTTTTCTTTGTTCTTCCAATGGAGTCGCACGATACATATAATTATTTAATTCAGAGCTTCTAATGCATGCTGCTTAATTACTGCTGATTTTCTTAATCTGCTTGTGTGTTGCTGTTTGTTTTAACACATTCACAAATATATTAATCCTGTGTTCACATTAATTGAGAATTAACAAGGGAAAGCAAAAGATTCTGGATCAGAGATTCTAAAATAAATTTTACATAAAATACGGAAATTATTTTTAAAATTTTACGAGATTTTAATTTTCAATACTCTTAAATAGTAGAAGTAATAATTTGTGGTTTCGAATGTATCTTTAGAGTTTCTTTTCCAGAAGAACTAGCATGTGCATGTGCATGTCAAAAGTTGTTTGACGTAAGCGTCAAATAGCTTTTGAAAAATTTCTTGTACTAAAATCAGTTATTTAAATATCGGATATTTATATTTTACAGGGCACGTCTAGCGATTTGGTGGTACAGGTTGTTCTTATAGCAGAGAGCATGAGATTACAGGCAATGATGGCCACTTACGGTATTCAGACGCAGACGCCTCACGAAGTAGAACCCGTTCAGATCTGGCCTCCCAGTCAATTAGTCAAAGTACATATAGTAAATTTACATCAAAATGAAGAGGAATAAAATATCATTATCATTTAAAGTTAACCATAATCTTTAGGTTTATGAATTTCTTGGGGTGACGAGGAAGCTCGGTTTAAAGGGAAGACCACCACGTCCGATTGGCGCACTAGGCACAAGCAAGGTAACTAATTTTACGATTTTAATTCCTTATTTCATTTTTCTCTTTGGTTGAAGTAAGATTGCTCAAAATTTTTCAGCTTTATAGAATATGTGGTCAAACAGTTATTTGTTATCCATTAATATTTGAAGTTAGTGATTTTTATCTGTCTCACGATATGGCTCTTCTGATTGATGACATTAAAGTAAGTATTATGGATTAATTTTATTAATTATTGGTAAAATTGTCATTGCAACATTCTTCATTAAGCATTTATGATACTGATATTTATTTTCATTTACACTCATTAAAGCAAAGTAAAAAATGACATCTCCATGTTTGTATCATTCTGTGACAAACTATCCGATTTGATGGCTCACTTTAGTCACATGCAGTTACGTATAGAACACTGGCAATAAGCTGTTGACTGTACGAAATCACTTATGTGCACCACAATGCAATCGCATGAGAATTATTCTTGCTTTTTCGTATCTGAATTCCCAAATCTATTCCTTTTCTATTTCACTTAAGAAATTGCATGTCTTATTAATAGCTTTATCAATATATTGTAACCTATAAATAATTTTTAAATATTAAAATTGGCAAAACTCTTTTCTTTGGTGCTTGGTGGAAATTAATTAATTTAAATTATGAAAATAGGTTCTTAAGTCTGAAAACATTTTACTTTGTACCTTGACAACACATTAATAGTTTATCTCGATAACAATGGCTGATAAGTATAACAAAAATAGCTCAAAATCATCCTAATTATACTTTTAAAATGATAAATGCTTTTGTTTTAAACTCCGTAAAATGTAGCTTATTATGCTGACGCAATGAGGATTCTCTGTAAAAGTTACTTAATCTTCATTTCATTTTTAAAGAACTTTTGCATTTCTACAAATCAGTCTTCGTCGTTTATAGATAGTGTGGTTATATTTTACATTAAAAAATTAAGCATATTGATTTAGAGAGACATGTAATAAAATTATTAGAATTTTAAATGTACTGTACATTGGAATTTAATAATCTATTCAGAATTGATTATTTAATCATGGGCTATTTACTTTGGTGTTAAATTAGACAACTTACAATGAAACAAATCTATATTTAAATATTTTTATTGATTTTAATCTATTCTTAAAGAATTTGCATAGTTTTTTTCTAGTTTGACACCTAAAAAAATAGCCTACATAATACATAATTAATCAGATGCGGCATTTTGTAACATCACTCCGTATCAATAGATCAACTGTTGATATGTTTAAATTGCTGAGTAAACATGTATGCATTCCACCATATAAAACATTTGGTAAATGTAAAAAGTAAGTCGGAAATTGATAAATTTGGAAACGTTTTCGTTCTCGTAAAAGAAAATCAACATTTCCAAATTTAGCATTTTTTCTAATAATTTTGAATACGGTGCCAAGTATAAATTTTTTCTGTTAACTTTTTAATATTTCAAATTTATTCTTCTATTACATTAATAGATTTTATATAGATTTACATTAGAGTTTAATATATATTACATTAATAGATTTATCTCCTATGGCGTTATTACATTAATAGATTGATATCTGTAGTTATTATTAGAATTATTGTATTATCTGTTAAATCAAAGTATAGAATATATTGTATTTTATGGAATGTAGTATAATTTCCATCTTTATAATGTGTTTTACATTTTGCCTTGATGTTTAGTATAATTAGTCTGCATCCTTATTGAATTTATTCTAAAATTTTTGCAAGTTAGGTTACAAGATTGACAGAAATTAAATGTTTCTGTAACGTACAATAATAGCATAATTGGCAATGCATTGACAAATTTGTTAAACCATTTTGTAACGGCAGTTGTTTATTTAAAGGTTGGCATATATATAATTGTTTTATCATCTATCTTGCATGCTTGACGATCACTCGAAAGACCAATGAGCCAGAGCATTGTTTTTAAACAAGATGGTAGACAAGTTGTTGCATACACACTGTCGTATCTTTGGATAGTGTTAGACAAATATCTATCTTGTATTGTTTTTCGTAACTCAATGCTTGAAGGTATTGGATTTTAAGACATTTGTCTTCTGATATTTTTGCTAAATCTATAGAATTATACTGTGACAAGTTGAATCAAATGTTTATAGTGATAAAAAAATCAAGTATAAGGCACTTTGATTAGTAAATGTAAAGAAATGGATTGCAAGGCTGCAAAAGATGCCAAAATATCAACTCTTTAAACAGTTTATCATAAAAATTTGTCTTAGGTAAACGATCAGTGTGTTATTAAAGTTGCAATGAATCTCTCATGGAGGGTGATAGCACTTTTTAAGACAGTGTCTTGCTATTTCTGGGGTTACTAGCATTAATAATTTACAGTACAAGTCCATATCAGTAAGTAAATAATTACATCAGTCTGGCTTCTGCTGTTACTCATATAGCAAGGTATTCTCATGTGTGTTACTTGAGAATACCTTTACCTCTTGAGTAACCAGTCTTGAGACACCTAGAGTGATGTGAAATGTTTTTTTTTTTTTTTTTTTTTTTTCAACTTTAGCACACACAATGAAATAATTGTTAACAATAATTCTCTATCCATGATATCTGTGGAAAAGATAAAGTGAAAGCATGGCCATATGTTTTGCATCAGTCTTAATTGATCATGCAAGATTGACAATAAAAAGTTACATGTAGACTGGCCTTTATTCTTAAATGCCATTCCACATTGTTTATGTTGTTAAAATGTATCTATCATTTCAAAAGCATTGCATTAGAATTTGGAATTAATATTATAAAATTGAATAATGATTTTAATTCTCTAAAATAAACTCTTGCTAAACCCAAGTGAATATGTAACTCTTCCATATCCAACTCGTTAATAGTTATTGCTTTTCAGAAGCTTATCTGTTATCAGTATTTGATAATATGAAATGGCTTAATTTTAAAATAATCTATGAATTTTCTTCCATTCTAAAAATATTTTCATAATGCCATACTTACTCTTATATTCCAATCAAATTTCTAACAAATCTTAAGCTTTCTTGGAGTGAAATCTTGAAAAAGCTTGGATTTGGGTTGAGGATGGGAATAGGACCTTGGATTTTGGATGGAACCTAATATATTTGGATTCCATGGAAATTAGAGGATTTGATGCATTCTCAAATTCAAATCTTTCAGAGTGGCATGCCGATGCTTTGATTGTCCGTTATTTATCCATTAAATTAATCTGGTTTCTTTTTAACATAAATAAAACTTAAAATGAAAACTTTTGAATTTTTCATACATTAATGAATAAATTAATTTTGATTAGAATGAACTGCATTTCGTGGGCAAGTATTGGAGAATGTCTGGTAGACCAACAGTCTGCATTTTGATCAGGGAAGAACACATGAGGTTTGTTTACCTATTTTTATGAAAACTAATAAAAAAATTTATGTTTTTACTTAGCATTATTATTATTGTATGTTTATTTAAATAATAAGTAAACATTACATAAATTAAGGTTTATTACTTAGAGATACACACTTTAAAGAAATGCTGGATCTATTGGCAATGTTCAAGAAGGGTCACTGTGACGGATTAAAGATTCGTACCGGTAGACTTCAAGTAAGTATTTCTTTCAGAATTAATCAATGATTAATTCCGAAAGAAAATCATTGTTTAAATCGTTTTCTTGAGGGTAATAGAAAATAAATTATTGCAGAATCTTATATCATCGTCTTGTATAGAACATCTTGACTTTCTTCATTTACTACCACCCGATATTATTCCAAAATTTGAAGCATTTCAGCAGTTAGAGCATACTTCAATTGGATATCAAAGTTTAACCGATATTCCTAAAGCAATAATTTATAGCGAACCTACTTACAATTTTGAGGTAGATTTATATTTCTATTATTAAAATTCAATGTTGCTTGCAACAATGAACATTTTTCGATTTAATTATAGGAGTTCACACACAAATCTACTAAAGATATTCTGGATGCCATTTCTCAAACCGATACCCTTCACGGACAGAGTCAGCTATTAGGCATTCTTTGGTATCGCGAAGGACCACAGTTTTGGGTGGATGGAAGTAAATACTTTAACGTAATTTATTTGTGTCTGTAATATTTGGAATGGATGCTACTGATGAAAATAATATTTATTTTCATGTCCGTCTCGGCCATCAAAGGACCCCAATTGAATACAAGCATTTGAAAACCCAAATATGTGGGCTGTCTGTTCCACATATGTCAAGTACCATCCCTCACTAATAGGCTGGTTCTTTTGAGGGCTTGGCTGAACTCACAATGGGCATGGAATAAAGATCCTCTTAGTGCCCACAGGGCAGAAAAAATATAGCAATATTATTTTTATTAGTAGCTTATTTATAGAATAAATAAACTAATTATTATAGTAATTTGAGCAAATTAATTGTTGAACAGATTGAACAAATCAACTAATTATGTTAATAATTTGTAATTAGTAACAGTAAAGGAAAGACTTGAAAAACTAACGAGGCAGGCTGGAGCTCTCAGGCATTGGTAAATAATTTTTTAGATGTAGTATTATTGACGATTGTTTCAACATTAATTAGGAATTTTGTAACTTAGGTCTGTAGTACGTTACTGTTCTAGCGTTCTGGAGAAAATGGTCGATAGCATCAGTCCTTACATTACGTCAACCCTAGTCAGCGGCAAACAGGTGAGGTTTATCAAAAGTATTCCAGTATATGTAATTATCTACAATGATTTTTTATATTAGATTACAGTTGGTATTTTCGGTCACGAAGAAGTGGTCATCGATCATCCTCTAACTCCCAAAGAAGTAAAAGGCATTATATATGGTCAGTGTCAGCATCATGATATTTATCAAGCAGTTCTTCAACAAGAAATTATTCTCTATATCGGAAGACTCATTTCTACGTCACCGCATCTGTTTCATGGCATTTTGAAACTCAGAGTGGGGTAAGATATTTGTATTCTGAAGCAAACTGTTGTTTTTGTAAGTTTCACATTCTAATCCATTTGAATTCTAACCTATCAAGTGCTTGAGTACCTGACAGATTAAAATGGAAAACTTGCACTGGAATTATATGGAATGGTTGTTAATTCAAATGGAATTTTTATCATAAAAGATAAACTTCAAAATATTATTCTATGTTTTTCCTTTAACTTTTAGCTGGATTATTCAAGCCATGATTCTTTATTTGAAATTCCTGAATGAGAATCCTCCAGTAAGTGTGTAATCTATTTAAACAGTTTTTCCTAAACTCAATTTCTCGACTTTATAATTTCAGGCGTTACACAGTCTTTCTCCTAGCGATTTACGAAAAGTCCTTTTTAAAGTGCTTGAAACGTCAGATAATGTTGCATCTAATAAGTAAGTTACTGTTGATTATCCAAAATTCATACACTAAACTATTGATTAAAGATGAAACTATTCCCAATATTTAAATAATAATAATAATGTATTACTAACCTAACCTAAAAGTTAGTTTAAATTTGATGTTTTTGAGATTGAAGTGTTTTTTATCCATCTTTTTCTTCTATGTGGTCACTAAGAGGGTCAATACTTCAAACATTTTTACACTGGACTTGCTGTATAACACATCTTTAAAATCTTCTGGGTGCCTGGTGACAAAATTCACGGGTAAACAAACATTTTCAGTCTCCCAAGCTCTGCTTGGAAAGCAGAAAACCTGAAGCAGAGCTCGGAAGGCATCAGAAAATGTTTGTTTACTCATGAATTTTGCTGCCATTCACCTGGAGATTTTTGAGGTGTGTTACTAATGGAGCCATTTTACTAGTCCTGTCATAAATCTGGTCGGGCCACCAATGGGATGGTACCTGTGACTTATCTAGGACAGAACACCCATGAAAAATTGCTGGGATTCAGTTGGATTTTTGATCCCAAGTCTCCCAGAACAGCACACTGATGCTTTTATTACCTTATCTGTCTGGATATCTGTTTGGAGTATACTTTGTCACTCTCAGAATCTTGTATATATAAGATTCTGAGAGTGACAAAGTATACTCCAAACAGATATCCAGACAGATAAGGTAATAAAAGCATCAGTGTGCTGTTCTGGGAGACTTGGGATCAAAAATCCAACTGAATCCCAGCAATTTTTCATGGGTGTTCTGTCCTAGATAAGTCACAGGTACCATCCCATTGGTGGCCCGACCAGATTTATGACAGGACTAGTAAAATGGCTCCATTAGTAACACACCTCAAAAATCTCCAGGTGAATGGCAGCAAAATTCATGAGTAAACAAACATTTTCTGATGCCTTCCGAGCTCTGCTTCAGGTTTTCTGCTTTCCAAGCAGAGCTTGGGAGACTGAAAATGTTTGTTTACCCGTGAATTTTGTCACCAGGCACCCAGAAGATTTTAAAGATGTGTTATACAGCAAGTCCAGTGTAAAAATGTTTGAAGTATTGACCCTCTTAGTGACCACATAGAAGAAAAAGATGGATAAAAAACACTTCAATCTCAAAAACATCAAATTTAAACTAACTTTTAGGTTAGGTTAGTAATACATTATTATTATTATTTAAATATTGGGAATAGTTTCATCTTTAATCAATAGTTTAGTGTATGAATTTTGGATAATCAACAGTAACTTACTTATTAGATGCAACATTATCTGACGTTTCAAGCACTTTAAAAAGGACTTTTCGTAAATCGCTAGGAGAAAGACTGTGTAACGCCTGAAATTATAAAGTCGAGAAATTGAGTTTAGGAAAAACTGTTTAAATAGATTACACACTTACTGGAGGATTCTCATTCAGGAATTTCAAATAAAGAATCATGGCTTGAATANTTAGGATAGAACCCAACTTAGTATTTTCCTTGAGGTAAATAAGGTATCATCAATATGAAGTCTGCTAATTCTCCTACATATTTCAAAACATTGGACTACATTTTCTATCATCTAGTTTATCCAATCAGATGATCAAAAATGGAGTCCAATGTTTTGAATGTCGATAGGTACAGGTTTATAGATAATAGGAGATAGATGAGGACATTATAAAGTCAACATTAATAGAGGATAATGATTTGATAAACTGTCATATGATTCAAAGATTTTAATAGTCAGAAGCTTGTATCTAAATAATAAAATAATTAGATGATAAATTCTGTTTTTCCTTTGTAAAATGAAGTTTTTGTGCTTTCAACTTTCGCATTTTATGAGGATGTTGTATTGGTTTGTATTTCTGCCCTGTGGCACTAAGAGAGCCTTTTTTTTAGCAAGGCCATCGTAGATTCAGCCAGGCCCACAATGGGCAGATGTGTGGTGAGGGTCTAACCATCCCCGAAAAATTCCTAGGATTTTAGACCTGCTCGGATTTCATACTGGGTCCTCCAGAGTGGCAGATGCCACTTTAGCCACTCAGTCATCTGGCCGTCATTGTTTTGTATTTTGGAAGCACTAGCTCACAATGGGCTGCCTTCAGTTTTTTCAATTTTTAATGTTTTGTGCAAGAAATCCAGATGCCAATTGAAGTAAAAGTATTTTTGATTTAGCCAATAAGATAGACGAAGAAATTTTATTGGCTTACCAGTTTTAATTATAATAAAAAAGTTAAACGTACAATAATCGAATAAATGCCAAACATATCCGCTCACTCCCAAGAAAACTTGAGGCTCCAAACTCGAATTCAGGTTCCCAGAGCGGAAGAGTAATGCCTTTTGCCTCCTTTCTGCCTGATCCCCTGTGGGACAGGCACACTTCTAATGGCCGAAAACGTATAGTTATAATGCGCTGGTACCAAATAAATCTAATTATTCTTAAAGTTCTGTAAAAAATTTGGTCAAAAGGGAATTCGCCTACCAGTGGCCGAGTGGATAAAACCACGAACCACGGATAGGTGGTGGCGGGTTTGCACCCAGTCAGTGGGCTTGCATCATGGTATTTCTTCATCTATCTAACACTTAAATAGGGAACAGTATCCCGTGGAAAGCCTTCCTTGAAGGCACCTCCTTGGCAGATTGCCCACGTGTTGAATTGCCTTTATCCCATCGATCCGATCCGAAAGGGAATTCGATTAATGCGCACAAAGTAAATGAGGTCATGTAATGGTTTTCATAATATGCGAAATCGGTAGTCGTATAAAAAACGTATTATTTAAAATAGAGATTGGCTGATAAGAATTAAGTATAAAGAAGTAATTTAAATGATAAAAATGTTTACAAGGCAATGCCAGATGAAAAGGTTAAGTACGTCATTTAATACAAATAAGATATAAATAAGGTTCGATGGCAGTAATTTCTTTTTGTTCCTCCCAGGCTTGCTTAATTTTATAGTCAAACTTCTGAACAACGGCCAGTGACGAGAACATAAAAAAATGGCGTTGTTTGGAGGTTATTCTGTACACTCGCTTCGACATGCTTTTCACTGATACAGCGTGATACTGTCAAATGGCCGAGCGGTTAAGATGGCAGCCTACTGCTATGAGGATCTGGACGAGTCTCAAAAATTCCAGGAATTTTTCTGGAGATGGTTCATCCAGATATATTGAGCCGCTCCATTGTGGGCTTGGTCGAACCCATCACGGGATTGCTAGAAAAGGATATCTTAGGCCCACAGGGAGGGAAGAGTTAAAAAAGAAAGTTACGGTATATCTCTGGTGTTCCGATTGAGAGACGCCAGGGGTACCTTTTAACGAACCATTCAAAAGTGTCATAAACTGCATACAGTATTAATTACTCTACGAACATTCTCGAGAAACGACTCGACAACAGAAATGTATGGCCACAGAAAAATTGAGAAAATCAAGTATCAAACAAACTCCTTAACTGAAAGTCGAGATTTTTTACCCCTTAAACTTCGACTTAGCACGTTTTTTCGTATTTATTGATAATTTATACAACTGAAGTAAATTCTTTGAAAATCAACCTGTAATTAATCTTTGGCAGTAATTTTCAGTAAAATTTTCAATTACGTTTATAATTTTTTCACTCCTTTACCAATAGCCTAGTGGATAAAAGCACTGAATGCTGGACATTAGTCGCGGACTGCGCCTGACCAGCGGGCTTATCCCGTGGAGTTTGCCCGGTTTTTTCAAGTTTCTCCACCTAAATAGAAGTGTTTTCTATAGAAATCCTCCCGAAGACACGCTCTTGGCAGATCACCCGTATGTTGCATCATTTTATTCCATCAATCCATTTTTTTTTTTTTTACTTTTATCGCTCTGTAAGCGCTAAGAGGGTTCTTTGCTGTCCATTGTGGATTCGGCTGGTCCACTATTAGGACGGCTGGTGGTGAGAGACTTAGTTCGACATATTTGGGACAGATTTCCTGAAAACTCCTGGGTTTCTCCAAATTCGTACCCCCAGAGCAATAGGCTAACGCCTTTACAACCACGGCCATCATTTATATCGATACATTTAGAATTTGTAGTCCTCAATTCTGAAAACGTATGTGCAATATCGATATCACTAATACAATACTTTTACTTCGCTATATATCTAATCACTTATATCTTATCACATTCTGCTGGCATAGTATATATGCAGACAGAGTTCATTTAGAAACTAAATATTTTTATATACCGAGTGAATATTATTATTAATAAACAAAATAATGTCCAGAGAAATCAGGAACCCCCGATGGAATTGTAGTTTTCTGGGAGTTTTTTCATATCTAACATTTAAAAAGGACAGTTTCCCATAAAAGTCCTTCAGGTAGACGCCTACCCGTTGGCAGATTGCCCTTGTGTTGCTTTGTCTTATAACACAATCTTTTCTTTAGCCTTTCGAATATTGTAATTAATCAATTTCGTGGATAAATTATCTAAAAGAATTCTTAATCTCCTAGATCCTACCCGGATCAAACAATTTCTTCTAACTGGATCTTTTTTAAAGGGCGTTTCTTTTTTGGACATAAGTATGATTCATAGACTACAGAATGCTTTTTTAGGATTACAGTTTAGAGAAAGCGAGGAACCCCGAACGTGGTGGAAATATACCACTTTGTGTATGGTGGTGGTCTGGTAAAGCATTATACTTAATGGCCGCACTGAATTTCACGTGTTTGCAGAGGATACCATTACTTCGAGAGAGTACAGAGATGAGGTTTTGGAGCCTCGTGAGACTTTTGAACTTTGAGGGCAGATTTTTATGGTGTAGAATGCCCACACGCATATGGCTCGTCAAGGATTTTCTTGGCAGTGAGAATATTATTCGTATGGAATGGCTAGCCAAATCTTCTGACCTAAATTCCATGAACATATTTGGGATGCACTAGGGAGACAAATTGCATTCTGTCGGCTACTCCAGGAACTTCAAGAAACTCTTGTTTGAGAATTGACTTTGCTCTTGATAGAGCCGATAAACAACTTTATAATCATCACGAGCAATCGTTTGCAGCGTATACGGGTGCAAGAGGCAATTGGTATATTTGTATACGGCAACGCGACACTTGGACGATCTGCCGAGGGAGAATGCGTCCCGAGAGGACTTTCTATGACAAATTGACTCCTATTTGGATGTCATAAACGTGAAGAAATTCCGGAACACTACAAGGACAGCTCGTCGGCCAGGAGCGAATCCACGACCGACTGCCAGTGTCCAGTGGTTTTATCCACTCGGCCACTGATGGGACGAGGCAATCACACGCCTCATTAATAATTTTCCGTGCAAAAAATGTACAATAATGCTTAGTACTATGCTTTTTCGTTTCTACTTTGAATTGATTTAGATTTCTCTGCCCTCTGGGCACTAAAAGGGCCTTCGTTTTGGCCCGCCGTGGGTTAAACCAGGCTCGCACTCGGGCGGCCGGGTGGCGAAATGATATACCGGAAAGACCCCCTAAAAATTCCTGTGTTTTTTCATCAACCGGATTGGATCCCTGATCCCCCAGAATAAAAAAGCCGACGCCTTAACTGCCTGCTAAAAATCATTAACTCCAGAATGTTGTAGAAAATATAAATTTTATTTTAAAAGTCTTCATTTTATTATGACAATTGTAGAAAATTAACTTTTTAATGAATTTATTATTTCAAGAATGACAGCTCATCAACAGCGACAGATCGAAGGTGCTCTGTGTCGCGTTCCTAGGAATTTCTACGACAGGGTTTGGGACGTCATGACTCGTACGCCGTCGGGTATTATTGTTGCGGGCCATCATTTGCCACAGGTAAATTACGAGTTTTTACTTTCTTAACACCATTTTACCCCCTCTTTAACCACGTTTACCTGTAATTTTCCAGCAACCGACACTCTCGGAAATGACGGTTTACGAATTAAACTTCGCTCTTCAGGTAGAGATGCTGTTGAACAGAATTTCGGCACCCGAATACAGGCAGATACTGGTTGAAGTAAGCCAACAAATTATAATCCAGCGATGCCCCGTAAATTGCGCAACGTTATAGAAAATCCCAGACGATCGTCAAATATGCGAGATAAGATAAAACATGCTTCCTTTCTGGAATCAAAAGGCCATATTTATGAGTTTTCTACTAATTAATTCGTAAGACTAAATTGTTTTATTTACGAAATCCGATAAGATCGTATCTCTTCTTGGCCTCTGCAAAGCGGGTCCACAGATCAGCACATTGCACAGACTTGCACATTGCTCGGCCTTCCTCTTCAAGGTTTGAGGTTTGATAACTTCCCTTTCCTTTCGGGTCATCGGGTTACGTCTTTATCTATCTTTTTTCATACACTTTTCCCTTTTGCTGCCTGTCTTGATAGACAATTTTCTCACAAAATAAGCCCAACAGAACTCCTCTTCCTTCAACATCCTAGAAGATACTTTTCTCACTCTTCTTAATTTAATTCTTTTGGTCCAGCTTATTTCTCTTCCTCCATTGTTTACACATACCATTTACTTGGAAAGCATACTTGAGGCCTTCCTCCTTGTATAACTAAATCCTTTTTTTCCATACTGGCGAAGAGCAATTTACAGGGCATCCTCTGAACACACAACATTAAAATTCTGGAAAAAAGCTCTAATTTCCCCAAAAATTTTCATTATTTCCTTAAATTTACAGTTGATAATGGTTGTGTACCTGGTACTGAAGAGGAATCCCGAATTGTCCTTTGGCGATCCCGTCGATATGGATAAGGTAAGTGATATTTTCTTCGATATAACGCAATGGATAAACTTCGAAATTAATGAGACTTATCGTGTAGCTCGTCCACGAGTCATTCGTCACGTTCATAAAGGACAGACCGCAAGAAATAGCCGAAAATAGTTCGGATATGACCCCGTTCTATAACGCTCCTTCCAAGATAACGGCCAGTTATCTGGCTCGAGCAGTGATGCACAACCTGTTGAAGTATGGACCCAGTCATATCGATACCAGAGAGATGTGCCACATATCTTAAGCCGTAAATGCCCGTAGTTTATAAAGTTTTAATGGTTTCTAAACCCCCCAAAAAACCCCATTTCTTCCAAATTTTATCAAGGCTTTGCTCATAATTTTAAATTGTTTTCTAGTCACGATACTTTTATTGCATCTGGGATGTTAAAGATTGCATTCGACGAGGTTCAAATATAAATTTTCAGAGTTTTTTGATGGAATTTCGGTGTCCAAAATTAATCAGTGTAAATAGTATGCATTGTAATAAAAATATGTACATAATTTGAATTGTAAATGCCCCCTCCTAAGAGCAATTTTTCATTCAGAATAGTGTTTAATATATATTGTTTAAAGAAAAGAAAAATGTTGAAAGTTTACAACTTTTTATGCAAATTTCATTATCCCTGTTGAAATTTTGTTAATAAATACAGTTGCAAATTTACAGTTGAAAGGTGAGTTTTCGTATTATGAAACTGTACTTCGCTTCTCCTTCTAGTTAACGAAATCACGTGATGATAAATTATCATTTCGAGCATTGGCGGTTCTACGCAAAGGCATCCTAAGGCCTCGCGATTTTAGGCGATCTTCAGGCGCATATATGTACGCTTGAGGACAATGGGATTCACTAATCTTTGTATCTCACAATACAAAGATTAGTGAATCACGTTGTAAATTTACGTAAGAAGGGCCTCTGAAGTCCGTGTTTAAATAGGGCCTCGCATATATAACCTAACACTGCGACGGATCTGTTTATCGCGCAGCCAGCTGCCCTACTGATAAAGTATCTGCTTACCGTAGAGGATGTGAGTTCGAACCCTATCCGGTAATTCGGGTCAGTATATCATTGTTTTTAAATGTGTCGGTGCCTCTCCTTCACTAAGTAATCGAAAGAGCAGAAAATCAAATTACGAGATGATGGCCATGGTTACGATGGGAATTTTTTAAAGGAACAGAAATGTTTATTCCTATGGATTCACTCAAGTCTACAGTGAGGAGAACGTTGAGGGGAGCTGATGTATTACGTTCAAACTTACGAAAATGCCACCAGCCCGGCCCTCCAAAGCGCTAGGCTGGTGTCTTTTGCAATCTCGGCCATCCCCATTTTATCCCTTGATCTAATTCGATAGAGACAATCGATTGGATTGGATTAACGGGATAAGGTTATCTACCAAGGAGGTACCTCCCCGGTGGACTTTTATGGGAAATTGGACCTTATTTAGGTGTTACAAACGTGAAGAAAGCCCGGAAAATTTTACGTTGGCGTAGCCCGAACCCACCGGTGGGCTAAAATCAATGGAGGAAACTTAAGAGATTAAGGTGGAAAGAGTTGGCCGAAGAAATTCTTTTAATTGGTACGTTTGCAGAAGCAAAGCATTTGATATTTTGAGATGTCTTTTTGTAAATATTTTGAGTAGAACGTCGGAGCCAGAGGTTAAGTAATCCCAAGTATTGATGTAGACGAGCAGTGGGAGGTCTTCGATGCGATAAAATACCAAAAGTACTTTCAACTTTAATAGATAAGACGAAACAAAATAAGAGCTAGGTCTTCCTTATCGTTCGATTGTTTCTTATTTTATCCATTGTTTAGATTTTGTGTGAATGAACGTTTTATGCTCTGGCCAGGAAGCCAAACATTCTTTGTTTACATACAATCCGACACGTGATATAGTAATTCATTCTCTGTTTGTTTACATTTCATTAATCTCAATACACAGATGATACAATTGTGTATAACTATTTTCTAAGATTTACGAGTGCCACTTGAAAATACATTTCTAAATCTTGATTATACGAATCTATTCTCCTCGTGACTAACAGAAAAACTTTATAGACACTAGAAAGATTGACAAATTTGTATGATTATAGGATTGACACGAGGTCGATCTGCCAAGAGGGGTCCCCCGGGAGGAATCCATGGGAACTGGCTCCTATTAAGTGAAGAAAGCCCGGTAAACTCCGCGTGCCGAACCCGCCAACAGAGTTCAGTTCTTTTATACACTTCGGCCACTGGTGGGCTTATAAATCTGGATAGGGTCTGAGCAAGTGTCGGGGAGCATCCACGAAGGGCCTAAGGCTACTTTTAGTCGTATAAACTTCTCCCTTCCGTCCGCAACTTCACTCCTTTCTGGCCGGCGAGGTAGAGACATTCGAACAGGAAAATTACGAACGAGCACGAAATTTGAGGCTGCGAAATCCGATGGGTCGGCCGATCTTCAATCGGAATCCATCTGCAGAAAAATCAAATTAAACACTCTACCCAAAGCGATACGAGTGCTCGAATGTCCAAGTTAATGAAAACGCAACTCGTATTAGCCAGAAAACAATACAAATTGCTTTTTTACGAATATCTTCACAGGCTGTAAATTTCAGTGTGGAGCCCATTCTTCTTGAAAGATCTTAGAACCATTTCTTTAGTTATGGACCATTTGTCTAAAGAAAATCTCTTCATTTTCAAAGTTTGGTCTTGTGAAGTTTACCGGTTTTTCTTCGCGTGTCCAACACCCAAATAGGAGCCAATTTCCCATTAAAAGTCCTTCCTTGACAGGTCTCTCACGTGTTATGTCGCCGTCTTTCATCAATCCAATCCAATCCAATCCTCTGAATGCCCAAAAAATTCAGTTTCAATCACCGCAATAAAAATAGTCAAATATATTATTAAGCGTCACTAAATAGGGATTAGGATCTGATTAATTAAGGATCTGGCACTCTTATTCTCGGGTGAAGTTCTTGAATCCCAACACAAGACAGCAAAATTGAGGATTTCGGAGTGAAGAAATGCAGGCGTTACGCAAGCTTATATAGGGAAAAAACAGATATCTTTCGAGCTTATCAATTAAGGATTGAATTGTTTCCAGATAGCGATTACAACTGAAAACGTAACAAAAAAAAATCCTAAAATCAATGCGTAACAAATATTTCTTAACAGAGATTCTTTGAAGTAATTCCTCGTAACAGATACTCGTTACGATACTTCCATTTTAAGTTGGATTAGGACAATTAAAATGCATTTAAAGACACGTAACTCAACGTTACTTTCGATGTAATGTGTATTAAGTAACCACCATCGCAAGATATATCGATAGCCAGATAGCGTAACCCGAATGGCTTTGATATCCCAAAACCTAGAAATTTAGAAAAGAGGTCGAGGTTGGGCGCGAGTACTTTATCTAATATTAATTAATATATCGATTGGGGTAAGTTTCGGGTAAATTGCCGGAGCGTAACAATAGGTGAAGTGTTCTCGCCAAGAATTTAAGAAATCCATGCGATTGCAGACGTTTAGAGATAATTTTAGGTAAGAGGTTCTTTTTACACCGTGCTTTGACCCGTGCTCGATATCCATAAAAGAAACAAAGATATCATTGTTTTCCGAAAAATAACAGGCACGAAAGAAACTCGCATCTGTATAATTCAAAGAGGCCTCGGATACCTCAATTCCCGTTGAGGTATCGCGAGGCATCGATGCATTATTACACGTAATATTGGGATTTTTCACGTGTCTTGTGGGAAACTAGACCCCATTTAGGTATTTAAAAGATCTCTTCCATGGGGATCAGTGGCGTAGCGTGGGTGTCAGCCGCCCGGGGCAAAGGAAAATTTCGCCGTTCCCTTATTTAGGTATCTCGATTTAAAAGACTAAAATTCAGTTTCGTCACAGAATAAGTAATGAAAAATTCCGTGCTAGTGTTCCACCTTTTTAAAATCGCCGACCCGGACGGCAGGTGAGGTTTGTTCGAACGAAGTTCCTGACGCATGCGTAATGTCATTTTGCAACGAGAAGAATAATGTGCAGTGCATGCCGGTTCTAAATCAGTTACAGTTAGGCAATAGGGAGACTTGGGTAGGAGTAACGTAAGTAACCTAGATGACTTAGCTCTACTATTTCATATTGGAGATGTGTAGGAATACGAATCGTACAAGCAAAAAAATATGAAATGAAATGGTTCAAATTTTTACAAGATATTATTTATTGTGAAATTTTGCCGCCCCCACTACGCTACGCTACTGTTGGGGATACCTCCCCGTGGAAGATCTCTCACGTGTTGCGTTCCCACATCCCGAAAAATCACGTGAGATCCATAAACGATCTAACAAAATCCAATGGAATGAAAAGAGTCCTAATCTAAGAGGATATTTTCAAATGAAGCCTTACAACAGGGGCTTTTACGCGTGATTCGAATGGGGGTTTTCTTTCTGCTCTAGTCGGGACCAGCGTAAAACGTTCGATGATCCAGAAGGCGGATGCAGCGCGAGGAGCTGACGAGCCAGTGGTTTTGGCTCATCTTGGTCGCTAATGATTTTTTTATACTTTCCAAAGTTATTAGGATTTGTCTTCTTGAGAATCTGTGGCTCCCGGCCATGTTAGGTTAATTTCAATCTCCATATAAAGAATAAACAGGGAGGAAAACGGGGAACTTCCCCGGGATCGTGTAAAAATTTCCACAAATTACAAAAATGACTAAAACCGAGCTCTCGAGGCATGTAAAATTTAATATTTTCGTGGCTTTTCGAGACGAGTGGGCCTCGCACGCGACCGGTCCGGACCGGTCGCTACCGTAAGAAAGGCCCGATAAAGTTCAAACTTTTGATAAATAATTTATCGCGTCTTTCCTATCTTGATGCGATCAAAGAATTGTAGTACAGTATTTCGATATTTCGTCACACTGCCGACGTCTGCAGTGTAATTTACCCGTAATTCGTAAATTTCATACTGCTCTGAAGCCATTTTATCGTTCCGCTCCCCCCTCGTTTCGAAACTGACGCGTGAAAATGGCCCTCTTGGTGCACGCGGTACGGAAAGAATCGATCGAGTCGATTAATTTGCGTAACAAATTCCGAAAACCCTCCCCACTTCAAATGGCCAAAGTTGAATCGGACTTGATTCACTCCGAGCTTCGTGTGAATCAAGTCTGATTCAACGATAAAGTGTGATTACGCGAGTCGTAGATTTTGTATAACAAATCTCCGAAGGTTACGCAACGAAACTAGTGAAAAAAAAATGAAACCGAATTAACACTGATGTGTAAACCGAGTGTTAACACTTTCCAATTTATACGGGGCGATTGTACAAAGTTGGAATCTCGAAATTCAATTCAATTTTGGCAATTTCGCGAATTCGGTTTTTCGAACGTAAAATATGTTCTACGAAAGAACTGCGTTTCGAAATTACGCAGAACACGCGACCGGCGTGTTTTTTTTTTCTTCTTCGCACTATCTGCGTAACCTTGAAACGTAAGCAACATTCCGCACGTAATTTATCGAACCGATCAAAATATTGTTAAACGATCTACAAAAACAAAAATACGACGTAAACGTAACATCCTCCTCCCCTCCTAATGCCAAAACCCTTATATACGAAGTGCGTAAAAGTGGGATTTCCCTTCACGAAACGTGAAAAGAAACCCGCCATTTTGGCTGCACGTAACTGCATGTTTGGGGGGATAAAAGTTGTAAACTTCCGAAAGTGGGCAATTTCGTGAAATGCCGAAATCTTTTACGGTCACGTGGGCATAATAGTTTCAAAATGAAAGGATAACGCGGCGTAATCGTTACCTCCACTGGCGTTTTTTCGTAATATACTTCGACGAATTTTGCGACAATGGCGACACCCCCCCGAAAATGCGATCGGTTGATTCCGATCTGTGGAACAATGAATGATAAGGCCCGCCTATCGATCCGAGATAACAAAGTCCGTTCGACGACGATAAAACCAAAGACACTTTTAACGGAACGTCAATTGTATCGCAGCAATCGGTTAGTCGAAGACAAAATGGCGGCTCCATGCAAAACGGGATACTTGGACGTCAAGATACAGCACAAGAGCAGAGGCCTCAAGAATTGGAAGGTGAGGAAATGCGCGATCGTGTCGGGCTCCGGTGTGTTTTGTACGGGGTGGGCCTGTAGCTTCTCCTTTTTGTATTCTAGACTTGGAAGAAACGTTGGGTGGTGATTTCGAGTACGGATTTGAGGCTGATGGGACCACCCTCTTTGGTGATACAAATCTATTCTAACGATGGTCAGAAGGACAAGAATTGCCTCTTCTCCAAATCTTTCTCCTCCAAGCTTTCGGTGGTGTACAGGAGCAGATCTCGAACGCACAGGCACGCGTTCAGCATGGCCGAAGATGGGGGTGCCGTGTTGCATTTGGCGGGAGGAAGCGAGAGCCACAGCCAGGACTGGATGGCGGCCATCAGAGATCTGTTGTGGCCTCCTAGTCCCTTACTCCAACTAAAAATGGGTATGTTTGGTTACGGTGGTGCGCCGTTATGGGTTCTCGTCTATATGCTCTACTCTGACACAAACTTTATTTTACAGCTTATAAAGGAAGTTATGACGTTTCTTTAATCGATAACGAATTCAGTTACCAGTCTGGAATGCTGGGACTCTACGGTCACTTCATGGCCACCGCCGACAGGTTGGTACTTTCTACCCCCGATACCGGTAGGGTGGTGAAAGAATGGAAACTGTGCCACGTCAAGAGGTATCAGTTGGTACCACAGATTAACAAAGAAGATGCTTATAAAGTGTTTTCCCTGACTATTAGGTAAGTGGCTTTTTAAATATAGATAAGGGTTATCGGCAGAAGATAATACTGTCAAACATGTCGAACAATCAAAGTAATTGCAGAACCGATAACTGCTATAGACAACAAAAGGGGGGTTGGAAATAATCTCGACATCGTTTTATCCGGTGTTCTAGATTGTCACCTTTACAACCATTGTCTTTTCTTTGAACAGCGAACCTGGCGGCTTTGCCGGTCAGCTTCAGTTCTACAGTGTTAATTCCATGTCCATACTTCAAAAAGTAAATCGTGCTCTGGATTGCTATGAACCGGTCGACTCTCTTCTGGACACGCCGGTGGAAGAGGTGGATCTGATTCAGTTTGACGATTACAGACGGCATCCCGGAGCCACTACGGATGATGAATTAGAAGAAAACAGGCATTCTCTGGGAAGTTCCGGTTCCGGTAGTACGGACACTTCGGAGAGCACGACGTCGACCCGTTTATTTCTCCTGCCCGACAACATGCTTAACTGCAGTGTTAACTCTGGTCGGATGCAACAGCAAGACGAAGACAGCGATTCCTTTTCTCCACCCTCCTCTCCGTCATTGCATGAGGATCTATCCAACTTTGATTTCCCTTCTCCGGAACTTGACAATGCAGACAATCCCCATATATATGTAGACATACAGGCTTACGACGAAGAAAGCCCCAAAGAATATATATATGAAGAATTAGAAGAGAGTGAAGATTCCACTGGAAAAGAAACTGTACCGCCTCTTCCTCCCAGGAATACTTATCTCCACTTGCAGAATACTCTACCCGATAAACACATTTCAGCACTATCGAGGATAAAAAGGGCAAAAATTTCTAAGCTCTTTCATAAAAATGAAAGAAGAACCCAAAGTGCATCTTCTGCAGAATGTAACGAAATTACTAAAGAAAATTTGGTTCGGACCGAATCCCTTCCAATTTTTGTACCATCCAAATCTCACTATGCACCCTCTCCGTTATCGATCTCTGCACCAGAAACTCTATCGGGATTTTGTAATCCGATGCAACACACATGTGATGAAACGAATGCGGATGAAACCTCGCATGGCACGAATTTCCGAGGGAGAAGCAAAACTACTCCGAGTGGAGCCAGCGAATTACACACCATAATAGCAGAATTGGACAAAGTGCAATCGAAGCACAGACACTTCAGACAGTGTATGAAAGCGTTATCGACAGAAAACTTAATAAAACAAGAACTTTCGCTACCTTTGTCACAATGCATCGAAGACTTAAGAAGATTTTCCTCCGAATACTGCAACATGAATGCAGATCCTGTATATATCGACATGAACGGTATAAACGGCGTAGACACGCAGACTGAAGAAAGCTGAGAAATCTGTTGTAAAATGTAATTTTTTTTTTAAATAAGATTTTTTATAATAAAAAAAATTAAAATAAAATTTGACATCAATTAATTTTATTTACCCTTTTTTTCTTCACAATATTACATGTCCCAAAAGACATGACAACACACAAGCTATCAAGTTGGATAGAATATAGATAACTAACGATACAGGTAATTCTCTTGTAACCTGGTTCGTAATTGGATGGAAAGTTAAGTGTTTTTTTTTTACTACAGATATTTTATTCTAAGTTATATAAACTGAATCTTGTTACGACACTTAACTAATTCCCTTTAACTACCGACTAGTAAATAAAGATTTTTTTAAATCTTATCAGAGATTAGCATTAGGCATTTTGTTTAGGGGAAGTAAAACATTAAATACAACTACATATTTACAATTTATTATTATTATTTTTTTTTTCTTCTCTTGGGCTTATGCCAATGGAGTATTTTCACCAATTCGAGAAACACAACATGCAGAAAAATTCAGTAAATATTTACAATCAACAATGAAGAATGGAAAAGAGCGAGAAAGAGAGGAGGGAGGGAGAGAGATTCTCAAACTAATTTTGTTAATTGAAATTAAACGCGCAGGATACATATAAAATGGGACAAATTCGTTGATCGATTTTGTACAAACTGGTAATACTGTGTGACATTTAAAAAACTGTAATGCAAATAATGGTCCTGACTCTTTGCTTAATAACTGGTGGAAGTATGCTTGCACTGTCGGATCCATTGTTTTCCTTTATGTTACTCTAAAAAGGTCGGGAATATATTCTGTCGAAATATCAAAGCTGTAATTAATTTTAAGTTCTGTATTATGGTTAAATATAAAAGTAGTAAAATGGGTGAAAAACAAGAACAAAAACGATAAATTATTATTTTGTTTTTTTTTCTCTTGTACTTTATGCAAAATCTCTTATTCGAGAAAGAACGGTGAATAAATTTGAGTTTTATAACTTAAAATTGCTTTCTATTACTTTACAAAGCTTCCTAGAGGGTAGTATTTGCTATATCTAATTAATGATTAATACTAAAGTCTATCACTTGTAAGTATTGTGGCTCTTTAACTAACTCAAAATTTCGGAGCCGAACGGTCGTTGCTCGGCACCTTGCGCAGCGAAATTCCCTGTCGAATCTGACACAAGAGTGTTTCTCTACAGGTGGTATTGTCCAGAGATCCTCTGCTGGCCAGCCAGCTTTGAACTCTAGCTGCGGCTTCGCTGGTGGAAGGATGTCCGTTGTCCATCATTTTCCTGGCAATTGTCGAGCGGCTGCGACCCATGCTTGGTTCCGAATCTAGCTGCAAGGAACATCTTCTTTCCGTCTGACCGGGTTGTTGAGCTAATTTTGCATTCAAGGTGGCGAGGAAATTCTGTTTGTTGGAACGTTCTCCTGAAATCATTTGCGAGAAATCTTCCTGAGAGGAGAATCCCATGGTGACATCATGCAGTTGGTCTAAACTGGGCTGCGATGCTCGCCTGTGAGCCATCTGCTGGGGAAGGGATTTGTGTCCGGTTCCGTGTTTGGCCCGAAGGGATGGCTCTTGAAGCGACGGTTTTCTTTGCACGGTGCGAAAGCCAGCCTGCTGACTTTGTGCAAACCGAGCATTTAAGCTTTGGATGAATGCTTCTCTATCGTTTCCTGTCAGAGAATGAGCTCTGCTAGATTTCTTTGGTGGATGGGCCAAAGTGTGAGCCATGCCATACATTGGATGGACAGGAGGTTTGTAGTTTATTTCTTGTACATTTTGAGAGAATGTCGAAGGATTAAAAAATTGATCCTTTCCTTTCGGACCATGATCTATGAGTTCCGGATGTTGTAATACAGAAAGTCTGGCATTGAGAGCCTGTATTAGTTGTGCATGGGCAGTGGGTTCAGAAGGCACAGAAGCAGAGGTACAAGATACAGTAGACTGGCTGCTGTTTCCTGACCTACCTGCATCTTTTTTCAAAACTCTTGCTGGCATGTGGCTCTCGATGACAGATGGCGGAGATTTATTCAACTCTTCGCACATTTTATTTCCCATGGATCGGGGCCGAAAAGTGTTTTCGATGGGTATTCCAGGCGAAGATCTCAGGGACGAGTGTATTTCAGAATCTCGTTTTATGGGCATAAATTCCTGTTGTACCGGACTTGACGTAGAAAGAGACGAAGACCTACGAATCGGAGGAGGTGGTTTGTGAGATCCGGGGCGTGTCAGAGTGCCAGAATTATTTGGAGACGAAGTTGGAACACTTCCTATAAAAGTTAAATTATTATTAAATATTAAATTTATAAATTCAGGATATTATTATTCAAATATCAATTATATATATATATATATACAGGGTGTATCAGAATGACGTTTTAAAAATTTGGGGGATTGTAGAGAATGAAATTTTGAATGTTTTGATATAAGGAACCTATAGCCGGAAATGAGATATAAAGTTTCTATAGCACTTTGCACATTCTATGCGGTCGGTATGCTGAATGAAACAGCAGATTACAGTATTTAAGACAAGTTTTATTGACAAAACAGTAGAGTACAATCAAACTGTACATGGAATCAGTGGCTACACTACTTTAGAGTAAATGTTCAATGTGACGACCACCAACTTCGTTACATAATGTGCAATGACGAACCATGTTTTGTCCAACTCTCTGTAAGATGCCACACTTCCCTCTGATGGTATTTAATGCTGTAAAGATGCACTCCGTAAGCTTATGAACTGTTCCTACAGGTGTTACATACACAAGGGACTTACATTGACTAGCTGTGTGTTTACAGCACAGCGCCAGTGGATGCAAGGGGTGACCTGAAGGATGACAAGCACTAAGTACACAATCTCCTGTACACAGGCTCAGTTAGACCACTGTAGTTGTGTTTACAGTCTTCCATCTGCAGCAATAACATGATTGAAGGGTAGCTACCAAAGTAAAGGGCGGTCAAGGATGTCCTACTGCTGTAGACACTTTAGTTCAAATTTCCAGCTATAGGTTCCTTATATCAAAACGTTCAAAATTTCATACTCTACAATCCTCCCAAATTTTTAAAACGTCATTCTGATACACCCTGTATAAAGTGGAACAAGGAAACTATTAGACTATTAGATAAAACAGAAATTTCTATTGATACAATTGATTTGATAACACCTTTAGAATGGAAATTAGTTCATAATTTTCATAATCATTTCCATCTAGATATCTAGATCTTTATAAATCACAATTTTTCTCTCTAATTTGCAAAATTATTGAACTTAGTAAAGTTTAGACATACAGTAATACCCCGAACTTAGACGATAGGTGGGACCGAGCAATAACTGCGTAAGTCGAGGTATAATTTCTCAATTTGTGTAAAATCCAAATCTGATGTATGTAAGCTAATAAATGTTCTCGTTAATCTTATCTCGTCTTTTGATTCGTTCACAGTTACAAGAAATCACCACATAGAGTCTCTCGAGTCTCCTTAGATATAACAAGCACAGAAATAAATAACACAAAATAAATTGTAGCTATGTGTTGATTCCACGAGACACATCCGAACATGTAAGCCGAACAATAGTGTGGGGGGAGTGAGTAATCAAGAGATGCGTGGCGCTCAAACAAAAGACGAATCAACGAGATTTGAAAATCGCATAACTCTGGGTTCGCGTAACTGGGGTATTACTGTATTTAATTTGCATAATTATTGAATATAGTAAAATATTCTGTGTTACTAATCATTATCAAATCAATGACATACACAGTTTATTTTAAATCAAAGTATTTTACAGACAAGTATTGTCATCAAAATTTAAAAATTATGACCTTTTCCCCGTGTTTAAATTTAATTTAAGTAGCAAATTTTGTATAATGAAAAAATAATGAAACAAACCTGCAAAAGAAGTTGGTCTTTTCTGTATGGGAGGATAAATAATTGGTTTTGTATTTATATCATTTTGAATTGGAGGAGGTGGAGTGAGAGGAGGACTCCAATCGGCAAACTCAGTTTTGGATGTAATGTCTTTTATTACAAAATAAATAAAAATATAAGAAATGGCGATGCAAATTAAGCATAAATAATACAACAAAATTAAATAAAATAATCATGAAATAAAAATTTAAAAAAAAATTGAATAAAGACCAAGTTTAAATTAAAATAAATATGTAAATTATTGCAAAAACAAGCTGAAATAACAAAAAATAATAATGTTACAATGAAAAATTAATAATTTGTTTATTGAATTAAAAAATGTGTACTAAAGAAAATAAATTATAGATTATTTTGAAGATTAAAAAAATTGCATTTTGTAACTTTGTGATATCAATTTAAGAATCAGTGACATATGATTAACAAATTGTATATTCAATGATTTTTCAAATTAATCATTTAAATATATTAAATAAATGTATATTGTGTGTTGTATATACAAGTACATACACAAAATTTGCATATATTTGTAAAATGTAGAATTTATAATTTATTGGTAAATTTATCAAACAAGATAAGTAATTTTTTGTCTTTTTACATGAAGTGTAGTGTATACAATGTTCAGAAATGCTGAATAAACATGATAATTTGTTCAAATAATTTTCTTACATGCTGGATAGGATGTCAAGAAACTGTATAAGAGTGACAGAAGAAAAACTAATTTCATTCCTTTATATTTTTGTTTCAGTAATCAAATGAAAGTATTAGATTACACCAGTGATTCTCAACCTTTCTGAGGACATGGAATGCCTCATTCATAAGTATTAACACAATCATGATGTAAATGCAGAATATATTCTCCTATTACCCACTAAGAAATTTGTGAATAGTTTCTCATAATTTAATTTATAATTCTAGATTTAAGCTGTTCTAAAATGTTTATTAAATAAAAATTAAAAAATTCTATACTCTGCAAACTGCTCTGTTCAGAATTCAGAGCTAAAACTGATTTTTAATTCATTGAAAATGAATTCTATTTGTTTTAAATCTTTCTACAAATACAGTAGACCTGCGGTAATCCGGCACTCCCTATAATCCGACACACCTATATGCAGCTCGGTATGCAATGGGCTGAAGAGAATGGTGCATCATACAATGAACTTTTACTTCTGAGGAGACTGAGAGACAAGGCCTTACTCTTGTGTTTAGCCAATGTAAAACAAAAGAAAATTGATGAATATTTGATGCACCATAAATTTATTTATTTATCCATTTTTAAACTAAGATCATACATAGTATGAACTTAGTTTAAAAATGTACCTTGGAAATACTTACATGTGTTGTATGTAATTGATTGGCATCAATATGTTTAGTTATTATTTTTTTGCAAGTGCTATAGTGTTAATGACGTTAATTTTATAATAAATCCTATGCTATCTATTGTGTTGTTTAATTCACTAAGTCCTATATTGTATATTATGTAGTACATATAGATTTGATCTTACCATTTGTAATTTGTCAGATTACAAGATACTCCTTTTCAAAAAAGTTCTGGACTACAAGGGGTCGGTGGCAGTACTCTATAGTCTGACAAATTCGATCATCTGACACCACCTTGCAAAATGTTTGTCAGATTACTGTGGGTCTACTGTATAATTTCTTTTTATTAGCAATTTAAAGTGCAATGATCTGCTTATAAATATTTTAATTTTATATTCATTATTCTTAAATTTTTATGTTTATTGTAAAATTAAAATGTTATGTAAAATCTTGGCCACACACTAATTAATTAATAATAAATCAGAACATAAAACTTGCTTCAGCCATCTTTCAACATACAGGAACTGACTTAATAATTATTTAACAAAGTTTTTTAAAGCTTAATTTACAGTTAAAAGCTTTTGTTTTTTTATTTATTACCACATCTTACATAGTTTCATTTAAAAATCTCAAAATTTAATTAGAATTTTTTCCAATATCATATACCATAATCTGCTGTCAATAAGATAAGAATTTATAAATTGAATAGCNCATACAATGAACTTTTACTTCTGAGGAGACTGAGAGACAAGGCCTTACTCTTGTGTTTAGCCAATGTAAAACAAAAGAAAATTGATGAATATTTGATGCACCATAAATTTATTTATTTATCCATTTTTAAACTAAGATCATACATAGTATGATCTTAGTTTAAAAATGTACCTTGGAAATACTTACATGTGTTGTATGTAATTGATTGGCATCAATATGTTTAGTTATTATTTTTTTGCAAGTGCTATAGTGTTAATGACGTTAATTTTATAATAAATCCTATGCTATCTATTGTGTTGTTTAATTCACTAAGTCCTATATTGTATATTATGTAGTACATATAGATTTGATCTTACCATTTGTAATTTGTCAGATTACAAGATACTCCTTTTCAAAAAAGTTCTGGACTACAAGGGGTCGGTGGCAGTACTCTATAGTCTGACAAATTCGATCATCTGACACCACCTTGCAAAATGTTTGTCAGATTACTGTGGGTCTACTGTATAATTTCTTTTTATTAGCAATTTAAAGTGCAATGATCTGCTTATAAATATTTTAATTTTATATTCATTATTCTTAAATTTTTATGTTTATTGTAAAATTAAAATGTTATGTAAAATCTTGGCCACACACTAATTAATTAATAATAAATCAGAACATAAAACTTGCTTCAGCCATCTTTCAACATACAGGAACTGACTTAATAATTATTTAACAAAGTTTTTTAAAGCTTAATTTACAGTTAAAAGCTTTTGTTTTTTTATTTATTACCACATCTTACATAGTTTCATTTAAAAATCTCAAAATTTAATTAGAATTTTTTCCAATATCATATACCATAATCTGCTGTCAATAAGATAAGAATTTATAAATTGAATAGCCATTGATATACAGTAACTTTATATCTTTAAATTAAATTGAAACTTAATTAGATATCACTTTAAATGCACATGATTTGTTCTATTTATATTGTATGATATATATCAATATTACAGCTGGTCTGTTCTCTGTTGTGTAATAATATAATTACACAACAGATATAATTATTCTTTTCTAAATTTCAAAAATTTTTCAGAAATAAGATTCGATGATAAATTTAATTTTCATTTCATAAATTTCATTGTTAAAATTTTTTATTTACATGCCAATTTGTAAAAGTTACTGAATAAATAAATGTTAATTATTGAATGGATTTATGACAACATTAAAGATGACTTTTAAAAAATGTAGAATATAATTGATCATCATTTGCAGTTTAGAATAAAAATATATATTTTATAAATAACCATCTTAATTTTAGCTAATATTCTGTAAAATTTTATTTAGGTTTTATCTAAAAAAAATCAAACAAAAGTAATATTAATTATATATGATAGTTAATTGTTTATTATAACCCCAATTTTTAAGCAACGTATATATTTCAACATACCTTCAGTTATTGGAGGTGGTGGTGGAGGAAGGTCCATAGAATCATCAGAAGGATTATCATTTTGTTGTAGTTGCTGTTGTAGTAATAAACTCTGTGCCAGAATAGCAGCCAGATCTTTTTGAAATGCTGACTAAAAAATGTAAATATTTTTTACTAAATTTCTAATATTTAACAGAAATTTAAAAAATTTTAATTACTTTATTTATTATTATTATTTATATTCATATTACAGTGGTACCTCAGGATACGAAATTAATCCGTTCTGAAACTGAAATAGTATCATGAAAATGTCGTAAGGTGAATCATTTTTTCCCATACGATTACATGTAAAACCAAATAATTCGTTCCAACACTAAAAACACACCTAAATTAAAGCTAAGTTGTACATTAAAAAAAAATTAACTGTAGTAAGGAAAACACTGAAAAATGCATTTTGTAGTTGTAAATGTATAAATAACCATAATAGAATAATAATTGATAAAAAAAAAA